AATCCAGCTCTCCCATCAAAACCACTGGGCACATACAAACTATACAAGGATGCTCCCACATAAGGACACTGAATTAGATAACTGTTTCACCTAATTTCATAGAAAGAGAGAAAGTTAAGCAAAATGAGAAGACAGAGGAATTGGTCTCAATAGAAAGAGCAAGAGAAAACACCTAAGAAAACAGAAAAATGGGGCTTCCCTGGTGGTGCAGTGGTTGAGAGTCCGCCTGCCGATGCAGGGGACATGGGTTCACGCCCCGGTCCGGGAAGATCCCACGTGCCGTGGAGTGGCTAGGCCCGTGAGCCATGGCCGCTGAGCCTGTGCATCCGGAGCCTGTGCTCCGCAACGGGAGAGGCCACAACAGTGAGAGGCCCGCGTACCACAAAAAAAATTAAAAATAAACAATTCACCAGATAAAGAATTCAAAGCATTAGTAATAAGACTACTAATTGAATTAGGGAAAAGAAAAGATGAACAAAGTGAGAATTTTAACAAGAAACTGCAAAAATAAAAACAAATTTTAAAAATGAGAACAGTTTAAGAGATAACATCAAATGTACCAACATTCGCAGGAGCCCCAGAATGAGAAGACAGAAAGAGAAAGGGGTTGAAAATGTATTGGATGAAATTATGGTTGAAAACTTCCCAAACATAAAGAAGGAAATGGATATACAGATACAGGAAACACAGAGGGTCCCAAAGAAGATGAATCCAAACAGATCCACAGCAAGACATATCATAATTAAACTGGCAAAAATTAAAGATAAAGACAGAGTTCTAGGGGCAGCAAGAGAAAACCAAAGAGTTATACACAAGGGAACCCCCATAAGACTACTAGCTGATTTTTCTGCAGAAACTTTGCAGGCCAGAAGGAAGTGGCATGATATACTCCAAGTGCTGAAAGGGGGAAAACCTGCAACCTAGGATACTCCACCAAGCAAGATTATCAGTTATAATTGAAAGAGAGATAAAGAGCTTCTCAGACAAGCAAAAATTAAAAGCATTCATCAATCAATACTAGATCTACCCTAAAAGAAATGCTAAAACATCTTCTCTAAGTGGGAAAGAAGTAAAAATCTATAGGAAAGGGAAAATCCCACTAAGAAAGACAAATATATAGTAAGGACTGAGGATCAACCACTTAAATAAGCTACTATGAAGATTAAAAGACAAAAAAATTATAAAAGCAACTATAACTATAATAAACAGTTAAGGGATAAACATGAAGGTGTAAAATATAACATCAAAAACACGAAATATGGGGGGAGGGGAGTAAAAAATGTAGATCTTTAGAATGTGTTTGAACTTAAATGACCACCAGTTTAAAATAAGTAGATACAGTTGTAGGTCAACATATATGAAACCCATGGTAACCACAAATCAAAAACCTACAACAGATACACAAAAATTAGAGAGAAAGGAACACAAGCATACCACTAAAGAAAATCATCAAACCACGGAGAAGAAACAAAAAGAAGAAGAAATGAACAGAGAAGAGCTACAAAAACAACTGGAAAACAAGTAATAAAATGGCAATAAGTACATACCTATCAATATTTTTTTAAAGATCAGTGGACTAAATGCTCCAATCAAAAGACATAGGGTGTAAATCAACTATACCTCAATAAAAAATATTTTTTAAGACATAGGGTGTCTGATTGGATTAAAAAAACAAGACCCATCTGTATGCTGCTTACAAGAGACTCACTTCAGAGCCAAAGACACACACAGACTAAAAGTGAGGAGATGGAGAAAGATATTTCATTCATGCAAACAGAAACGACAAGACAGCAAGGATAGCAACATTCATATCAGACAAAATGGACTTTAAAACAAAGCCTATAACAAAAGACAAAGAAGTGCATTATATCATTATAATATCATAATAATATAATACATGATATCATATAATAATATCACTATATCATTATAAAAGGATCAATACAAGAAGAGGATATTACAATCATTAACATATATGCACCCAGTACAGGAGCACCTAAATATATAAAGCAAATAGTAACAGACATAAAGGGGAAAATTGACAAGAATACAATAATAGTAGAAGACTTTAAAACCCCACTTACATCAATGGACAGATCATCAAGACAGAAAATCAGTAACACAACAGTGGTCTTAAATGACACAATAAACCAGTTGGACTTAATAAATACCTACAGGGCATTCCATCCAAAACCAGCAGAATACACATTCTTTTCAAGTGTACATGGAACAGTCTCCAGAACAGATCACATGCTGGGCCACAAAACAAGTATCAGCAAATTTAAGAGGATAGAAATTATACCAAGCATTTTTTCCAAACACAATAGTATGAAACTAGAAATCAATTACCGAAAGAAAAATGGGAAAAGCACAAACATGTGGAAGTTAAACAACATACTACTAAAAAACCAATTGGTCAATGAGGAAATCAAAGAGGAAATCAGAAAATACCTCAAAACAAATGAAAATGGAAACACAACTTTCCAAAATCTATGCAATGCAGCAAAAGCCATTCTGAGAGGGAAGTTTATAGACACAGGCCCACCTCAAGAAACAAGATAAATCTCAAATATACAACCTAACCTACCATCTAAAGCAATTAGAAAAAGAAGAACAAACAAAGCCCAGAGTCAGCATAAGGAAGGAAACAATAAAGATCAGAGAGGAAATAAATAAAATAGAGACAAAAAATATAAGAGAGAAGATCAATGAAAGCAAGAGCTACTTTTTTGAAAAGATAAACAAAATTGATAAACCTTTAGCCAGGCTCACCAAGAAGAAAAGAGAGGACCCAAATAAACAAAATAAGAAATGAAAGAGGAGAAATAACAACCAATACCACAAGATACAAAAAATCATAAGAGAATACTACAGCTATATGTCAACAAATTGGACAACCTAGAAGAAATGGACAAATTTCTAGAAACATACAACCTGACAAGATTGAATCAGGAAGAAATAGACAATCTGCATAAATGGATCGCTAGCAGTGAAATTGAATTTGCAATTTAAAAAAAATTTCCAGCAAACAAAAGTCCAAGACCAGACAGGTTCACAGGGGAATTCTACCAAAAATATAAAGAAGAATTTTACCTATCTTTCTCAAACTTTTCCAAGAAATTAAAGAGGACAGTAAACTCCCAAATCCATACTATGAGGCCACCTTTACCTTGATACCAAAACCAGACAAAAACACTACACAAAAGGAAAATTACAGGTTAATACTTTTGATGAATATAGATGCAAAAATCCTCAGTGAAATATTAGCAAACTGAATCCTACAACATATAAATAGAATCATACACCATGATCAAGTTGGATTTATTCCAGGGATGCAAGGATGGTTCAATATTTGCAAATCAATCAATGTGATACACCACATTAACAAAAGGAAAGATAAAAATCACATGATCCTCTCAATAGACACAGAAAAGGCATTTAACAAAATTCCACATCTACTCATGATAAAAACTCTCATCAAAGATGGTATAGAGAGAGCATATCTCAACATAATAAAGGCCATTTATGACAAACCCATAGCTAACATCATACTCAATGATGAAAACCCAAAAGCATTTCCGCTAAAATCAGGAACAAAACAAGGATGCCCACTCTCACACTTGTTTAACATAGTATTGGAAGCCCTAGCCACAGCAATCCAACAAGAAAAAGAGATAAAACATATCCAAATTGAAAGGGAAGAAGTAAAACTATCACTCTTTGCAGATGACATGGTATTTTATATATAGAAAACCCTAAAGTCTCCACCAAAAAACTATTGGAACTAATAAATGAATTCAGAAAGTTGCAGAATACAAGATCAATATAGACAGTCTGTTGTTTTCCTATAAATAATGAACTATCAGAAAGAGAAAGCAAGAAAACAATCTTGCTTAAAATCGCATCAAGAAGAATAAAATACCTAGGAATAAACTTAACCAAGGAGGTTAAAGACCTATGCTCTAAAAACTATAAAACATCGATGAAGGAATTTGAAAATGATACAAAGAAATAGAAAGATATCCTATGTTCTTGGATTAGAAGAATTAATATTGTTAAAATGTCCATACTACCCAAAGCAATCTACAGATTTAATGTAATCCCTATTAAAATGCCCATGATATATTTCACAGAACTAGAACAAATAATCCTAAAATTTATATGGAACTACAAAAGACTCTGAATTGCCAAAGAATTCCTGAGAAAAAGAACAAAGCTGGAAGTAAGTCCCTGAGTTCAGACTACACTACAAAGCTGTTGTAATCAAAACAGCATGGTACTGGCACAAAAACAGACACATAGATCAATGGAACAGAATAGAGAGCCCAGATATAAACCCACACACCTATGGTCAATTAATCTACGACAAAAGAGGCAAGAATATACCATGGAGAAAAGACAGCCTCTTCAGTAAGTGGTGCTGGGAAAACTGAGCATCTACATGTGAAAGAATGAGATTAGAACATTTTGCCACACCTTATAGAAAAAATATACTCAGAGTGGATTAAAGACCAGAAACAATAAAATTCAAACAATTTTTCTTCAAACTACTTTTTCAAGTTATCAAACATCCACGTTTGTCTTTGAGCTAACTTTATCTTTGTAGACTGTGAACATTTTTTCATCTTTTACTTATATATTTCATCACATGCCTATTAGTAGCAACTTTTTTGCCTATTAAAGGAATTTTTAATTTTTCTATTTTTATTTTGTTAGTTTATAATCACTTCAGTTAAAAGTGACCACATCTGGATATCTATCATTCTAGTGGTACAACTCTATAATCTGCTATATAATGACTATGACTAGGCATGTATCTCCATTGCTCAATAATAGCCAACTAAATTCTTTGATCATTGACATAACTTTAACACAGAAAAGAGAAATAGCTAAAATATATGTTTTTTAAATTTTTATTCCCAGAAATTCTTATTCTAAATGAACATCTATAATTAGATATAACATTACTAAAATTTTCATATATTTTTAAAAGGCCTTACAACTAGTCTTTTTCCAGAACCAAGTTTTTGCTGTTCAGTCTCTTGTCTTTTATCTGCATCCGTTGCAAAAGCAAGTACTTGGTATCTGTTTAAAAGATATGGAATAATTGTAAGTGACTTTATAGTTAAAAAGTGTAAATTATTTTAAACTTTAAAAACACATAATCTCAGTATCGCTAAAATTTTTAAATGCACATTATCTACAAACCTTACGAATAACCTTCCCCTTGATTTTAAAAATTGTAAAATTTAGTAATGAATTCACACTGAATGATACTGTGGCTTAAGACTATGTAAAACTGCAATGGTAAAGAAATTATAACCATATGTCCCAAAATTCAATGTTGGAAAAATAGCTCTGCCACATATCAAAGCATTTCCATTAGAAGTTTATGTGACAAAAACAATACTCAAGAAAGATCCAGCACCAAAACACAAAATAGAAAAAAATACAAATAATGCAAAGCAACCAGACGACTTGTTGCAAACCCCCAAAAAAAGTAGTAGTAGAAATAGTAGAAATTATTAATAGATAATTTATGGACCCCAGAACACCTGAGTTTAATTCCCAGCTAAACCATTAACTAGTTGAGAAAATTTTTTTTAATTAATCACTCTGTCTTATCTATAAAATGGGAATAATAATCTCAAACTGAAGCATTGTTAAAAGAATTAAAAAATAATTTAGTGCCTAGTACAGTATCTGGTATACACTAGGTGCCCAATTATTGATTAACAGATTGACAAACACATAGACAGATACAGATTTATATATACATAGAGATAAATCACATAGTAATTTATCTGGTATGTAATAAGTTCTCAATAATGGACATTATAACTTTCTATAAGTATTTTAAAGCTTTTATTTCAATAGTAACATTTAACACAACATTGTAAATCAATTATACTTCAATAAAATAAATTTTTTAAAGTTAAAAATTAAAAAATAGTAACATTTAGCTCAAATCATTCTTAAAAACAATTTATAAATATCATTCAATTTAGAAATGATTCAGACAATAAAGTTTAAATTCCCTTACTCACATTAATTTATGGTGTATTGTTAGAGTAATAATCCTACTCAAAATGAAGAAATTTTAGGCTCATAGATTCCTTTCCCTCTTTTTTTTTTTTTTTAAGTTTCTTACTTTTATTGTTGGTGCATATCTAGTTACATAGGGGAGATAGGGAAGGCTCTCCAAAAGGTAACACTTAGCAGAGAAAAGGTATTAGAAGGTTAACAAAAACATCTCAACAAATAATTAAGCCTTTCCCTCTTATTGAATCAAAACTTCTTACATTGCTCTTTGATAGCTAAGAGGAAAATTAGTAGGTAGATATATTCAGGCATCTCATATTGTCTAAAGAAAGATGTCTGATAATGTAAACATCAGGGACCTGAATAAATAAAGGCAATGCAGAATATCTAAACAAGTACTGAAATTTACACTGGTATTCAAATATCATATACCAACTCTTTTTTTTTTTTTGCAGTACGCGGGCCTCTCACTGTTGTGGCCTCTCCCGTTGTGGAGCACAGGCTCCGGATGCGCAGGCTCAGCGGCCATGGCTCATGGGCCTAGCTGCTCCGCGGCATGTGGGATACTCCCGGACCGGGGCACGAACCCGTGTCCCCTGCATCGGCAGGCGGACTCTCAACCACTGCGCACCAGGGAAGCCCATATACCAACTCTTAAAGCCTTCTATCTCAATCAGCAATACTTAATTTGTAAAAAGCCTCCAATTTTCAGTGAATGCAGAATGACTATGAATTAAGATCGATTTTGCAATGCATTCATGAAAATTACAGTTAATAAGAAAGCTTAAAGTATATAAAGTTCATTCATTCAATAAACATATAGTAGGGATCTCATATAAGCATTAACAAGGGGGAAAACTACTACATGACCTATATCCACCAGGACCTTCCAAAGTAGTTGTGAAGATTCATATACAAACAAATAAGTGTAACTCAGAGTGCCCTGTGCTAATAGAAGGTATGCATATAAATACCAAGGGAATATGATCGCAGGAACAGGTAATTGGGGTGGAGGAAATACATATGTTCTTGGTATCAGTTCAGGAGGAGAAAGCTAGGTTTTGAAAAATGAGTGAAAACTCATCATGCTGTTAAAGAGGTAAAAGGCATTATGGCAAAGCAAACAGCACATGCAAAGGCATGCAGCAGTAAAAGAGACATGAAAGGCCATGGCAGGAGTTTAGGAGAGATGCATGGCGGAGAGGAATGAGTCATGGGAAATGAGACAAAAAAGGGTAGGAGGCTGAAGATCTCGGCCTTGTGAAATCATGCTAAAAAATCCCGTAGGTAGCTGCAGCAAATATCTCAACACCATCTGAGACTGACCTTCAAAATCCCTAACTCTCCAAAAAATTAGACCTCATAGTCCAACCTCCAAATAAGATTGCTTTACTCTCTCTGGTTCATGGTAACAGAAATTAGTATGCACTAGTGACTAGAACATCAGTCCAGAGCTGGTCCTGCAAATGGATCTAACCTTCGGCAATTAATTACATAGGCCATTCATTTCCTGCAGACACCAACCTACCAGAGGATGATATGGATATTAATGAGATTGTTGCTATATCCAAAGATTTTGAGCTGTTTGAAGCTTCTTATATAACTAAAAAGAGTTATTATTTCATGTGAGGCATAAGTGAACCCCTAAAGTGGCCTCATTAACATCAAAACAGCAGGCACAGACACAGCCAAAATTGACTCCTGATTTCTAAATCCAGACCAATTCTCTTCCCAGAAGACAACTCAGAAGAGTATTTTATTACTAAACGTAACTGACAGTAAATTTAGATGATGACAAACTTACAACAGCATTTACTTTATGATTCTTCCTTAAATTCTCTTAACTGTGACCAATAATGTACATGGAAATCTGTTTCCAAAACCAAACAATTCCAAGCAGACTTGGAATTTCTGAAATAAAGAAAACACTTGGATTTTTTTTTCTTATCGCTCAAGTGTTCCGTGATATAAGCTAAAGAATAAAATTTCCTTGTTGGAACTGCTGAAAGAATAATCAGGTCCAATGTAAAAAGATTTAATGAAAGAGTGTCACATGTGTTTTTCAGAACAGAAAGGGCACTAATCACAGATACAGCAAGTCCAGGTGAACAGTGGTACTTTTTGAACCAATAGCCACAAACACTTAACAGGTCCTGTGGAGCACCAATGACAAACTCAACCGTATAATTTAGTGCTCCTCTGTATCACATCGTAAAAACAGCAGCAAGTAACTAAAATATGGATTGAGGTGTCACCGAACACAAAAGTAAACCCTCCAAAATCATTTATTTTCAAATGAAAAATAGTTGTCACCTCAAAGTGTACCAGGAGATTTGGGAACTTTGATACTTAACCTGCAGAACTCTACTAGAATTGGAGGCTCTGGATACAGAGCATTACTACATTCATTCCAGCTATAGTTAAAGCATTCTTGATTATGCCTGGGAGAATCATTTTCATTGGAAGATACCAATAGCAAAATAGAAGGTTTCCTCATAAACTTTTCATTCCTTCATTAAGATCTTGTTAAACATCTACTTTCAGCAAGGTACAATGCTAGGCACTTCAGGGGATACAAAATCCCTGCTATCAAGGAACATTTAGCCTAGTCAAGGAGAAAAACAAGAAATGTCATATCAGTGAAAGCATGAATAGTGCTTATGGAAAGCAGTGAAAAATTACTCTGTGAATTGAGAAGAAGGGGTTGTTACTGACAGCTATGTCAGGCAAGATCTGAATGGGGAGCAGGGAGGCTTCCAGACCTAATTTTCATTCACAGAAAAGGAAGGAAGAGCATTTCAGACAGAGTACAGCATGAGCAAAAGAGGAGAGAGAAAGAGAGAAGCTCTGAATATATATGAATAACACCAAATATTTCAGTTTGGCAAGAGCCTAAGGCTGGTGAAGAACACAATCCTCTTTTTAAAATACTATCCATTAAATTCAACAAACAGATTTTTAAATACTGATTTAAAGACTATTGTCTACTTAGCAATGTATTAATATTAGGAGCCACTGTAGGGGTACAGGGGAAAGTGTATAGCAAACAGGGGAGAAAGATAAAACTCCTGGCAAGTATACTTCTTCCGGGAGCCTCCTTACATTCAACTCTTATTTAAAGGTATCACCTCTAGGCTTCTCAGTTTCCTGTGCACAGTGCTGCCATAGCCAGTATCACAATGAACTGAAGTAGCTGATTGACTTGCTACCCACTTGCTGGCATACTGCTGGAGGACAAGAGACAGGTCTTATCTGGCTTTGCATCTCCAGTGCTTTGCACAGTGTGTGGCACAGAGAAGCCTCTTGAAAAATGTTTGCTGAATGAATGACTGAACCAATGAACTGAATTATTCCTTTAGTGAACAGGTATTTAAAACAGATTCTGCTCTCAGGAACCTGATAATGTAAGACATACTCTGGAACATTTTAGCACAATACAAAAAGCAAATATGATATTGGGCAAAAATCAGTGTGTTGGGCAATAATATATCTAGGAGGTTAAAAAAAGGAGGATATTTAAACCAGTTAATTTTAAAAGTTCCTTCCAAATCTGAAAGTTCACTTAACAGAGGTAAAATGGGACTGGAGCATAAAGAGCACTGAATGTCATATGAGAAGATTTAGATTTTTTAATGGACAACAAAAATTATTCTGGCTTAAAGAGGTGTTTTAAAAGAATAGCTATGAGAAAGGCCCTTCAAAGTCTACATTAGAGGTTAAAAACAAACAAACAAACAAACAGAAATCCAAGTGAAAAGATAAAGGTCTGAATGCCAGTGGGAATGGGAAGCAAGGGCTGAATAAGAGAAAAAAAAAAAGGTAGAAAGACCACGATTTACTGACTATATAATTCTGACAAGCAAAGGAAAGAAAAAGAGAATAAAAGATGATCCAAAGTTTGTACAAATGTGGCCAAGGGAATGGCCCAAAGCCCCTCCTCTACCAAAAAAAAAAAAAAAAAACTCTCACTTCAAAAGAAAAACAACACTCAAAGTATGTCCTGAATTAGAATCACCTGGGGTGTGTATTTGTGATGATTTCTTGGTCTTTTCCCCAAACCTACTAAATCAAAATCTAAGGGGTTGGGGATTAAGAACGTGCAAATGTGCATTTCATAAAAGGATGCTCAGATGATTCTTATGCACACTAAAGTTTGAGACTCATAGCCTTCTCTAGTTCCTATTTGAACATAGTTGATCTGTTTTTAAAGTAATTAAACATCAATATCAAAAATGAAAATGAATTATGTCTTAAAAGCCTTTTCTATTAACTGATTATATTTTTAACTGATTATAAATAGATTTAATGAAGGCTCCAAAAACCAAACTTACAGTTTTCCTGCTTTCTCCCATCCTAAATTACACCTGTGATTACCATTTAATCTATTAAAGTTGAAAGTATATATAAATACAACATACTACTCAATGTTATAAACCCTCTTGATTGTCATCATTTCACAATAATCACATATCCCATGCATTTTTACCATTTTAAAAGATCGACATAATAAATAAAGTGTGCACTTTTTTAGTCTTAGATGGAGATGAATTTAATAGATCAGTATGTTGGAGAATTACCACAGTTAAAACAGTATGAGTTTCTGTGAGATTAAACCTTCACATTAAAGAAACCTACACATTGTTTTCTCATCCAATCACTCCTAGAGTTATTACCAAATTAATTCCTATTCCGATATTTCAAAGAGTAAGTCATGGAATATTCACATCTTTGTATCATGACCCCAGTGTAACACTGCTAGTATCACCCTACTTGGCAAGAACTGGGTGGAAAGGTGAAAAGCAGATCTTCTCAATATTGCTTAAGTTTTGGCAGGATTGAATGAATTATTTTTCCCAGCTTCTCATAATAATTATGATATTTTATTTATTATCAGTAGCAATGCCACAACTCACTCATCTCCTTTGGACAAGCGCCATAGGAGTTGTAGGATGAATATGACATAATGATACACTACCTCCATCAGTTAACTTCTGCTTACTCACAAACATTTGCTTATTTTCAGAGTTTTAAATCCTCAATGCCTTAACAATAATTCTCAGAATGTAGATTGTCACTTTTTAAGAGAAAACTACATTAACTTGCAATATACACAATAATAAAACTTGAAGGCAAAAATTTACATCTGTTGCCTGATGAATTTATATTTTCTTCCTGCCTTGGGAAAAATCATGTGGCCAAAAATAATACTGAAAGGCTATAATGAAGTGTTGCTTAGATGTTTAAAGTTCTAAATGCTGCCATCAGTAAGATAACAACAATAAAGTTACTTAAAATATTATAATTCTCCAAGTCTATTTCTTTTCCCAGAATGGATTTTTACTTTTTTTCCCATTCTCCCTTCCAATAAAAAACACAGCCTCCAAAAACTCAAAACCATAATTTTTATTGAAATTTAGCTGGTAGAGAAGAAAACGGTCTCTCTGAAACACAATTCACCAAAATCAATATGAATTTCTAGCAAAAAGTATAAGCTGTTTTCATAGGGTCATTTTCATACTTCACTTCTGTAAGCTGTTCTTTTAAAAACATTCATAAACACACTTGTATTTCTTGCCAGTATTCTTCCTATGTCATATACATTCTTTTTTTGTTATAAAATCATTCTATATATGTATTTGTACCTGGCTTTTTTTCACTCAGACTGTGTTTTATTATTTATAATTCAAGGAACAATCGCAATAATTATTGAGCATTTTCTATGGGGTGGTAACTTGACATACACTTAATTCTTTTAACAAATTTGTCGAAATAGATGTTATTACCTCCTTTACATTCAGGATAAGGACACTGACGATCAAACAGCTGTGAGTAGCAAAATCAGGACTCCAATCCAGGTGTGCCTCTCTCCAAATCCTTCCTCTCAATCTGTGCACTATACTGCCTTTCAAATGTTTTATGATATGTAAATGATATCCTCTAAGTCACCACAATTACATTTTATCAGAGAAACCACTCTCTTTTTCATTTGCAATATTCAAGCTCTTTGTGGATAAGAAATTATCAGCAGCATACACATAAAAAACCATGATTCCAAAGATTCAAGATCCAAACTTACTTGTAACTTTCCACTTGTCGGCAGGATGAAACAGTAATGAAGGAATCTGTACGGGAACTGTAAGCAAGAGGGCCAGGTAAAAGAGAACCAGGGAGAAATCTTCCAAAAGCATAGCTCTCCTGCTCAAACACCATCAGCATTCCATCCATAGACTGGATACAAATTAAATCGCGACCTAAAGAAGAATTAGAGGAAATTAGGTAACTTATTCTTTTTATGAATGTAATGATTTTATCACTATTCACCACAAATATGTCAGTTAACTTTTTCCCCAAGGGACAAAATGGGCAGTTTAAATTTTAAATCTCAAACTGATGAAGCTATAAGATTATTGTATATCACTATCTACACATTTCCCAATTTTTTCATTATTCATAATATGTCTATAGTTTTAAATACATTTATTTTCATTTATTTGAGCTAAAATCCGTAGCTCAAGAGAATACCTGAGAACAATCATGACTCTGCAAGATATCATTTTTTCCAAAATCAGAAATATAAACGGTTCTACACGATGCCTTCTCTTCTTCATAGTATGTCAGCCCCATACTTTCAAATGACTTAGACATCAGTCAAACACAGCAGACCAAATCCATAGACATGTATTAAGCACCAGTTTTATACAAATCACAGTGTTGAGCACTGTTGGGAGAGAAAATGACTAATACCGAATAACGCTAGTCACTGATTGCCCTAAACTATCGATTGATTTTGAAGTGTCTTCTACTATTAGTCTGTAAACATTAACTACAAAATTCACAGTTCTTAAAATATACTGAAAAAAATATATATATACTGAGATGATGATAATGATGATGATTTCTATGGTACAGTATAGTATCCCTAATCTGAGAAAGATCTAGTGGCTATAACTTTTCATGTTCTGCTAATGTGATTAGTGTATCCTATAATCTATTATATAGGGAAGAACGATGTCAAAGAAAAATTAAGTTACTCATTAAGAGAATAAACAAAAGGTCAATCTTCTAATTAATTTGTCATCTCTAACCCATACTTACCATATACAGTAAGTCGTGTAGTAACTATTCTATTTTACCTTGGATATCAGTGCCAATACAGTTAACCCTAAATTTTGAAATTTAAAGAATACTTTGCTCAAAAAGAAATTAAATTGCATAGAAATGGATGGTAGTCTTATTATGGTATCTGAGTATGGATATAAGGGCAATTTTTAAAAATGAAAATGTGTTGCCAAAGGAGTTTTTTTAAAAAGAAAACAAACTGAGACCTTTGGGGTGCTTATTACTGCAACATACTCTATCCCATCTTAATTGATTCAATACATTTAACAACTTTAAATAGTCTCAGAGATGTTTCAGGTTGAATACTGTCTTAGCATATATTCACAAAATACACATCTGAACCACTCTGGGATCGCTAGAGAGAAAGGGATTGTTCATGTTAATGCTGTTTTGAAGAGTATCCCCTCAAAGCTCAAATTCTTTTATAAGGCATAGTAGGTTTTTCAGTCATTGTTTTAAGCTTTTTAAATCTATTCTTTATCTATTATGCTTATTTAAGTTTTCATAAAACAAGATATGAGTTTGCATGGATGCTGTATGTATATACTTGCTGTACGAGTGTATTCACAGAGATATATTCAGACAAAGAGTACCTCATCTATCCAGAATTTAACTATATAGCAATCCTCCTGTCTGTACCAAGCAAAAATGAAAAAGTATAAATATGCCTCTAAATAGTCAAAATAGATGCTGCAAAGTCTTTGTAACGAAAATCATGCAAACTTTTTACAGGTAGGATTCCCAGGTCTCACTCAGGGCATCAATTCTTATTTTAATTATGGTTCGAACAGTTGCAGTTCTCATAAACAAGTTACTGATATTCCAGGAGCTTCAGCCTCCTTGTTTATAAAATGAGTATATTTGCCTAAGAGCTCCAAAGTTAGAGATAAGATTTAATAGTCTCTAACACTGTGTAGCACACATAAAACACAAGAAATCATAGCATCATTATAATGGTTATCATTACCTGCTTCCCCAGCCCAGAGAAAAGAAAATAGCAAATTAGAAAAGGTATGAAAACACTGATAGCTGTGAGCAGTGACAGCTATGCCCCAACAAAAAAGAAGACAACAGGAAATCTATAAAATATATATCAAATAATTCAAAAAAGAATAACAGTCAGGGCTCAGCTTAGAAGCAATTACTAGCCCTATATATCTCAAAAAGAGAAATGTCATATTATAATGTACTAGTAGCTATTAAATGGATTTCATACAGTTTAGCATAGTTTAGTCATTTGCAAAAACAAACTTGTGGCCGAGATGCTAACGGCTCCCCCTAAGAGCCATTCTTTCTTTTGGTACTTGAATTATCACTAGACTCATGGCCATTCAGTTAGAATAAAGCCTATATCTCCAGGCCTCTGTGACAGATACATCATATGAGTACTTTCTCGCCAATGAGATGGGAGCAGGGTGATATGTGCAACACCCAGACTTACCCTTAAAAGGACTGAGTATGCACTCCCTTCCCCTCTTCCCAGCATGGTGGTAGGGCTGGAACAGCTATCTTGGCCTCAAAGATAGAAGCCACATATTGAGAACAACAGAGCTGCCTACCAGTCCTGGACCACTTTATCTCCAGGTGTTTAAATCTGACAGAAACAAACATCTTCCTTAATTAAGTTTGGTCTTTATTAAAGCAATGAAACTTATATCTTAAATAACACAGAACTTATCTGAGCATAAAGATCCATCCAGCTTTACTGACTCTTAAAATTTAATTTCACTTGATTGGATCCTGATACCAAAAAACAATCAGATATAGAAGACATTGGGACAACTGGGGAAATTGGAATGTGACTGCATGCTAGATAACATTAGGAAATTATTTTTAATTTTCTTAAGTGTAATTATGGTATTGTGATTACATATGAGAATGTTCTTATCAGGAAATGTGTTCTGCAATAGTTATGAGTGAAGTGGCATAAGATCTATAACTTACTTTCAAATGGTTCATAAAAAGAAAAAAGTGTGTGTATACATGTATATACATTTATACATGTATATACATTTACAATATATACATTTACATCTAAATGGTGGAAAAATGGACATTCATGTTACTTGTTCTGATATTTAAATTTTTTCACAATAAAAATGTAAACAAAGTGTTCAAATATATTCCTTTAGTATACAAATGCACTTTTTTAACCACCAAGGAGGGAACTGAGCACTAGTAAATTGAGCAGGACTTAGGAGGAGAGCAATAAATCTAATCTTAATAAGTTAAGAATCAGAGACAGAAGAAATCCAATCAATGAAACACATGCAATGACCTTGACCTATGGGGGAGGATATTACTGTAACCAAAATATACTCTCTGTATTATTAAAGAATGTGAGGTCAAGGCATGTATACTTCCAAGCAGAAGTACAATAAAATTTGAGTTCATTTCAATATGTTGAATGTCTCTGAACGACAAATCTTCCAGTCTCCCAAAGACCTTAAAGAAGTCGTCCTCAAAGTGTGGTTCCCAGACCACCAGCATCAGCATTGTCTAGGAAATTCTTAGAAATGCAAATCCTAGGGTCCCACTCTATACCTATGGAATCAGAAACTATGATGATAAGGCCCAAGTCTAGGTTTTAACAAGCCCTAGAGGCTATCGGATGCATGCTAAAGTTTGAGAACTACTGCTTTCGCATGGTATGACAAAGAGCTAGAGCTTGAAGAAAACTTGAGCCCCAGAGAACACTTGGCTCCTTAGCATGATATATGAAGTCTTATTTCCTGAAACTCTAGCAATATAGGGGAGATATAACCCCACATGGGCTGCCTCTAGAGTCAGATAATCTGAGTTTGAGTCCAGTTCAACCAATTATTAGTGGTGAATTTGGGCTCAAGTTTCCTTATCTGCAAGATGGTGTACCTAACTTAGTTAGCTGTTGTGAGAATTAAATTAAGTAATGTACGGAAACTAGATCCAGCAGGTGTTAAATACTGCATCGCATTATTATTTTATAATTATTTTCTAAGTCTCATACTAAATGTTGTATTAATATTTAACTACTTGCTGTTTCCCACATACATTGTAGTGGTGCAACTTCCTTGCTTTTGCTTATGTTATTTCCTTTCCAAAAAACTTCTTACACTTTTCTTCCCCTGGGATAGTGAACATTTGCTGGATGCCTCCTGGTCATCCATTGCCCTCTCCTCCCATCTTTAGCCATGAGGCTTGAATGAGACTGACTCCATTCTAAGCTTGAGAGTAGGTAGGCCCTGACTTATATAAACTAATTAGTATCCCACTAGTCACAGTGATTAGTTAAGGGATGGTTATAATTTACAGCCAATGAAAGAAACTAAATCCCTAAACTGAGCTGAAACTAAAGAAAAACTTACTCTTCCCCCTGGGGAGTAATATGTGAGGAGGATAAGGTCTGGAATCACAGAAGCCATTAGGCTTTTACAAGGGTGTAGTTAAGAGGGCCATGGAAGACACTGTTTAAGCCAGTGCATCAAGCCGCACTTGGAGCCAAACCTATCCATGGACTTTATAGGCAATAAATTCTCATAAATATTGAAGCTGAGTTGACTCTCTGTCCCTGAATCAAGTGCATCAACCCATTTGTCCTCTGAGAGACATCACAGACTGAAGCTCGTCTTCCCAGAAATCTTCTCTTTCCCTTCAATTACCCTCCATCTGTGATCCCACAGAGCCCCATCCTTACCGTCATCTTACAACTAATCACTGATTGAAATTATCTGTTTTTGTGTCTCTCATTATCCCTAGCTTAAACTCAACGGCAAGAAGGTATATCTTATTCATCTCTGTAAATCCAACGATTAGAAAATGCCTGGCACATAGGAGATACATTAATAAATGTCTGTTGAGCTGAAGTAAGCTAGGCAAAATACTTTATTCATCTGCAGCTCAGATTGGCTGAGGCTTTATTATATGCAATTCACATACTGCATTTTAAGTCCATGAAAAATGCTTTATTTATTACAATCCTAGCCACTGACGATTAGAAAAATGTAGGGATCAATCCAAAACATTACTCAAAAATAAATAAATAAATCCTTCAAATCACTGTATTGGAAGCCACTTCAGAATACATACCAAAGGCTCCCCTTACTGATAATGAGAACAGAAAGAACAGCCCAGAGAAGCCATGAAAGTTCTGTAG